GGAGCCCGTCTACCGGGTGCCGCGGCCGCGCTACGGCAAGGGGAAGGATGTCATCCCTCCCATCTTCTACCAGGAGGACGAAGTGCGAGCGTGAGTTGCCGCTTTCCCTCCCTGGCCGGCCGCCGAGGGGTGCCTGCGCTCCGCCGTTCGCCGGAGACGTTCCTCCGCCCCCCGTCCCTGCCCCCGCGGCGGGCGTACAGCGGCCCTGGCGCTCGCTGGCCCCTCAGGCCGTGTTTTCTCTGCCCCTCTGTGTCGCGGAGAAGCCGCGTTTCTACCGCGTTATCTCCCGCGTGTTTATACTCGCTGGCGGAGGCGCAAAAAGCGTCGCTTCGGGTGGAGGCTCGTGGGCGACGGGAAAGGCGGCAAAAGGCAAAGGGCCCGGGCGGCACAGGGCGCCCGTTAAGCCGCCTCGGGTGGCCGGGGTGGTGGTGGTGGGGGGCTACCTTCAGCCCTGTGAAGGAGCACGGTGCTCCTCCGACTCAGCGGTGGTGGCGAAGATTAACTAGAGTTTATTAAAACAGTTAAAAAATCCTGGAAGGAATATCTCTGCGTAACATAACGGCTAATGGAAAAAGGAGAAATAGTTATGCGAGTGCTTTTTGTTGTAGCCTAAATTGGCTCTGACGTTGTTTATCTTCTCCAAGACACCTTTTTGATGGTTTGAAAAAAAAAACTCTAAAAAATCCTGGAAGGAATATCTCTGCGTAACATAACGGCTAATGGAAAAAGGAGAAATAGTTATGCGAGTGCTTTTTGTTGTAGCCTAAATTGGCTCTGACGTTGTTTATCTTCTCCAAGACACCTTTTTGATGGTTTGAAAAATGAAACTCTCTTTATTTTTTGAATAGGAGATTTTACAGAATTTATGGCAGCGGTCCAAGACCTTTCGACCTGTCGCAATCAAACTACAAATCTACTTGCCAGAGGTAAGATTTATTTAAAATTAAACTAGAAATATTTCTGGAACTTGTCCCTGTCTTCTCTTAAGTCAGTGAACCAAAACGTTGTTTGTGAGAGTAAAAATACAATCTTGAACTCTAGGTTTGTTGAGAAATTCAATGAACTGAAAGAAGAAGGAAAAATTGAAGAGGAGAAATTGTTTGAAGAAACAGGAAAAGCCCTTTTAGCCAGTGGGATAATTTTACAGAGAAGAGGAACAGATAAAGTAAGTATTGAGTATTCACAGAGTTACTTGGCCAGTGGATTCAGAAAACTTCACTTCCAGGCCCTTAATGTTGAATTAGTCCGAATTAAATTCTCAGCAAGACAGTCACGTACCTGACGGTCGTAATAAATATCTTTGTTGTGCAGAGTAAACTTTTCTCTTAGTCGTGAATGTGACTGGCCAAGGTTAAGGTGGTACTTGTGGGACAGAAAAGATCTGCCTGGTTTGGTGATGAAAGATTTAAGTCTTCAGTGCTTTCAGATCATCCATCGGTGTGTCTGTATCAGCCATTCGGAGATACATGTACATGTTACTGTATAGATGTTATCTCTATAAGGTAGCAGGGGGTAAACATCTTCTGGTTCGAAAATAACTAGCACGCTTTTCCATCCCTTTTTAATAGTTAAGTAGTGTAATGCACTCTCACCCTTGTTCTTTAATCCTGAGCCTGAACTGGAAAACTTTTGTGTGAATCTTGCAGGGTTTTCTTGTTGTTTTGTTTGTTTGTTTTCCTTGAGGTTTTGTAGTCTGGGGGGTTTGTTTACCTATATTTTTGCCAAGAAAATAACTGTCCAAAACAACTGTCCAAAGTGTCCTGCCACTGCTTTTTGTTTTCCCTGACGTACAAGAGGGGAAATGGCTCCTGGGCATGTGGAGCTTTCTTCCTCGTTACTTCAGGCAATTGTCATGTGACTCAACAAAAACTGGGGTGAAAAGTCAAACTGAAGATGAACTTCTAGAACAGCACGTCAGGTAGATTATATCATGGCTGCTCTATGATGGTTAGAAATCTTTTACCTTGTTCACGACTAACTGATTACCATTTCTTCTGAGAATGCCGTCCTTTTAGTTGAACACCCTCAAAAAGAATGGAGAAGAGCTGTTCATAAAAGCTGCAGTTTTAAACTGTCAGCTAAATTAATTTATTATTCTCTTCTGTAATATACTCTCCCTTCTCCTCATTATCCAGTGATCTCTGGCCCGAGTGTCCGTAGTGCTTTCCCCAGTAAAAGAGGCTGAAGAGGAACAGAAATTGGTTCTGCTTAAAGTGCGCTGTCCGATGAGCATGTCAAAAGATGAAATCGGTGACTGACTTTCATCTTTTAGCTTGAGGTCAGCAGTGCCGTTTTAAGTTTCTTGCCCTGGTGATACCTTGACATTGTATTGTACCTTCACAATAATCTAGGCATGAATTAGAACTTTTCTATCAGCTTTTTTTGGACATACAGACTGGGGCTGTTGCTTCCTGTTGCTCTCTTCAGTCACGCTTTCACAGAAACTGTTTACGACCCCGTTTGCTGGTGATAGTCTGTCTTTAACTGTAGGCAGCACAACAGGATCATCAGGACGCTGAAACCAGGGATTCTGTGTTACCCCTGCAGCTTCAAACTGTGCTGGAAAAGATACAGGAAAAGAAAAAAGATGGGGAGGAGCAGACGCCAGAGTTGGCGGAAACGCAGAAGGAAGATCCCTTACCCTCCTGAGAGCCGCGCTGCTGTCCCGTAACGCCCGGCTGTGTCCTGGCTCTGGCAATCCCCTGCTCGGGGGCCGGCATTTCTGCCTCCACAATCTCATGGTTCTGAGGTGTTTTCTTAGGGGGAATATGCCCCAGTTATCCGGCTCTAGTGCCTTCCGTGATCATGTGTGGGGCACGCATCCTTGTTCTTCCATCTCCCCATTTGTAAAATGGGAGATAATCCCCTTTTTTGAGGTGCAAGAATGTCATCTCAAACTGTGAGTTGGAAAATATGAGTATAAACGTGGAAAATTAAACACTTTCTTTAAAAATTGGAAGTTCTGTCTCTTCAGGTGTCTTATTTCCGGTAGTAAAGATGTTTCTTAACTTCTCGCGCTTGACGGTACAGGCCCTGTGACGGTCCTGCTGTTGAAATGGCAGATGCCGCTTGCCTGACGCGTTGTAACAGCCATCGGAAGTGTCATCTTCTCAGAGCTAATTGAGAAGAGTTGCTATTTTACATAAACGTAATAATACGCTCTTCCTATTCCATCATTTGCTTAAATTCAGAACAGGATGAAGTGCAACAATACCAGGTAATTTGGACCTTTGCAGTTTTTTAGTGACTCTTGATGCAATTGGTCACCTCAGAAGTGTGAAAAATGCAATGTTACAGCTGTTTGCTGAAGAGAAAGCTGCGTGCTGTTACAGAAATAGTCACATAGGAAGCTTTGGCATAGAGCAACGTAAGAAAATAACAATCTTATTAGGATTTGGAGCCGATTAGAATTTCATTCTTCCTGCGCCTGCAAACTCCAGGGCCTAGCTTATTTTTTTATTAAAGATTTTGGCTTTGGGCTATATGAAAAACAATTGCTTTTTTTTTTTTTCTTTTGTTTGTTTGTGTTTTCTCCTTTTTTGTTTGCATTTTCTCCTTTTTTTTGTTTGTGTTTTCTTTTTTGAAGCCACCGCCACCACAAACAAACAGGTGTAAATCACGTCAAACAAATCTCTTCTCTCCCTCCCTCCCTGGCTCTCCCCTACAAGGAAAAGGGGGGGATTTTCCTTTCGGTTTCGTACCTGCCTCCCAGACACGTTCTCTGCAACGCGATTTGGTGACGCTGCTGCGTGTGACGCAAGAAAACTCTTACGAATCTGTGTTGTATGGCAGTAAAAAGGAGGCTTTAAAAATGCCCCTGGTTTGTTTTTGTGTGGCTTGATTCGCCTCCTGGTAGCGATGTAATCACAGCAGAATTACACAGTTATCCTTGGAAGGTCAAACTTTATTCCTAATTCTGCTCTGTAATTCTAGAGGAGCGCAAGATTTTATTACAAAGAGCAAAAAGCCCCCTGTCTTAGCGCTGCTGTAGCTGTAAGCTCTGGAGGATCCGTTTCCAGAGCCGACCTTGGTGGCACGTATCCCTGCCTCAGCAAGGTTCCTCCACCTGGGGTGGGAATTGCCGCCTGACCCACGGCAGCCCCTTTCCCAGGTGAATACAATGGATGCAGCCACCTCCAGTATCCAAGTTTTGGAACCGCTGTGCTGGGTCAAGAGTAGGAGAAACGTTAATGTAAACATGACAAAAATCCATTAATACGGGGTTCGGTCTGAAACAGCACTGGAGAGGAGACCTGTACCGAGAGTAAATCGTAGCAAGGCCTCCGCTCGTCTGCAGCCAGCCTTTGGATGGGGCTTTCCCTCAATCACAGCAGTCTCCCGTTTGGCTGAGGACCAGGGCGAGCTGCTCTCCTTAGGAAATCTCCGGCGGCTGGGATGTGAATTCCCCTCCTTGTGCCCGGTTTCCTTGCTTGGGCCAAACGATTATCGCCAGCCCAAGGGAAGAGAGACCAACAGCTCCGCGTCTCCTACGCTGCAGCTTGTGTCTTTGCCTTTCGTGGGTTTTTACAGAGGTAAAAATTTTATTTTGAGCATCCTGTTTTGCATTTTTAACGGTTGATGATGCTCTTAGCTTGCCAAAAATTGCAAATGGAAGTACTTTAAAAGGAGAAGTGCTACGAAGTTGGATGCAGTAACACATGAGAGATTTCTCACTCCCTTCGTTCACAGCTCGGTGGTCTCCTGTTTGTTGTCACTTCTCTAAAAAATTGCCAATATTACTTAAAGAGCTTTTTCCTCTATCATCTGCTGTAACTAGCTTCATCCTTGCATCTTCACTGAGCTTGGCTGTGTCTTCCTTTAGTCATCTGAAGCATATTGAGCGATAACATATTAAATTTAGAACACAGGCTAGAGCAGCAGCCTCGCAGTATGCCCTGAGTGAGTTCCTGTGCAGAGCAGACAAGAAGAAAGTTGGAATTAATTTTCTCTTTTATTTTGTGTTGGAAGAAGTCACTGGGGCGGCTCCCCCGGGCAGAGCACTCCCAGCCAGACCAGCCGTTCTGCAATGGGCTCGGCTGGGGAGCGGTCGGATTCACCCTCACGTGCAGCTGTGGCCTGAGGGGTTGGGAGTAAGAGACCCCTCATGGTTTTTTCTTCCCCTTCTACATCTGAAACGATGGCGACTGTCCAGCTTCTTAACCATCAGTTTTCGTGATCACACGCGAGAGGTTTATTGCAACTTGCCCGCCTGCGCACAGCCCAAACCTGGCGTGCCCGGTAAGCCAAACTGACTTAGAAAGCGCAAAGAAACTTGGGTCCGTGCAGCAGCGGTGTAACCTGGCTGTCGGATGGGAGGGTGTAGTCGTGCTCCGCGCTTTGCCACGCTCCCGTGTAAAGCAGTTGCGTATTTCACTGACACGTGCATGCTATTATTCTGAAGCAGGTACGTGGCCAAATCAGCAGGAAAACCTGGAAATACATAAAGGAGCATGCACTTTCAGTGGGGCAGCCCTCACACGGTGTAAATCAGGAAATTATTTCTCGGAAGCTCGCGGGGCAGAGCCAGCCTTCAGGGCTCGGGCAGGTTGTTGGCCGGCTGCAGCGGTGGGGACGCTTCCAGCTGCGTGGCTCTGGATGGAGATGGAGTTAGAGACGTTCTTCTGCGCCGCGGGTTTGTTACGGCTGGTGGGTAACGGGGAACCTATCGGGTAAAGGATGTGAGCTTAAGTATTTGGTGCAATTAGGAGAAAACACAATTAAGACCGGAGTTCTGTCTGTGTTCGGTGGATGCGTTTGCTGGGCTGGGACTGAAACGCCAGTCACCGTGACCTTAAGAGTAACTCAACTACTTTAATTAAAAGGTTCTGGGCAAGAGCCTGGGGTGAGCCATTTATTATTTATCAAGCGTTTCCCCTCCAGCCGCCAGCAAAAGGTCAGCAGCTTGGCGGGAGGAGGGTTTGTCGGGGAGCTCAGGCGAGAACGACCCGCCAGCCCCGCCTCGGCCCCG